AGTAGAACAGGCAAGATCTACTACCGAATTGTATGTGTGGGATGAGGGAAAGGTAGAAATCAAGGCTGATGCCTAGGTAAATGGTGATTTGAGAATGACGAGGGTGAACAGGTTTTGGGGAGAGGGCAAGAGTTGTATTTGGCATGTACTGTAAATGGCATAATTTGAGGTGCCTACTAGATATCCAAGTGGGGATGCTGAGGAGGTAGGTGAGGGATATATGTATGTACAGTTCTGAGAGGAGGTCAAGGCCAGAGACATGTACAGGCATGTCATCAGAATACAGGTGTATTTAAAGCCAAAGAACTAATAAAGATGATTTTGGAAGTAAATTAAAGACAAAAGAGGGTCTAGGACCATGCCCTGGGCGTGTCAATGTTTAGATAAAGGGAAGCCAAATCAAATCTGAAAAGAGGGCTCGGAGTGGGCCACATTTCCCTTCTAACTTGAGGCTGGTGGGACTACAGGCCCTAGGGATTACAACCCCCATAGGGTTTCTTTCTGCCACGACAGTAGCTGGCTTTATCACTCTGTGAAATGGCTAGAGATTGCAGACAGAGGGCGCAAGCAGAACATGTGCCCATCCATTGTCTTTTTGGGATACTGAAATTTTTCTAATTGTGAAAAGGTCTATGGCTCCCCCACTGAATTAAACTCATCTTTTTGGTATTTAGGACCCCTTGCGAAATGACCCCGTTAACTTGGACCTCAAGCCCTCCCCACCTACCCAACTCCCCTCCATCCGTTACAGAGATGTGGCAGCCCTGCACCCCATTGTGCGCTGCCCTCTAGGCAAGATGAATCTAATATTCACACCTGACTTTGGAAGCCTCAGAGAAGGTGTCTGGTCCAGGCCCCCTCATAGCCATGCACTCCACACATGCACTTGGGTGCCCATGCACACACATCTCTTGTAGTTTGAGGATTTTCCACTCTGGCTAGTGGATACAGGAACTTTTCCTGGCCTTGTATGAACTTCCAGAATTACTAGTCCTGTTCCTTCCTGACTGTTCTTCCCCCAGCCTTAGGTGGTTATCCTACTCTAGTGCTCATCGGTTCTCACCTGAAGATGCAATGGGACCCCTCTGCAGACCTATCCAACAGGCTATAGTACTTTCCTCCAAAGGCTGTTAAGAGATTATATCAAATTATCATATGCAAAGCGCCTAACTAGCGCCTGGCCCCAAACAGGCACCCAATGTTCTCAGTTTTCTGCCCCTTCTTCATAATAAAAATAGCAAAGTGAATTACTTTTGCACAGTGTGAAGCCTTTTCTGACATTTATGCAAACTTCCCCACACCAGAGTTGCTATAAAATCCTTCCTGCCGCCTGGAAGACAGCACAGTTGTCATTTTCTTCATTCTCCTTCTTCATTCTAGCTGCCTGCTGCCTGGGCCCATGGACAGTACCGTACGTGCTGGGTTTTTGAGGTGTCAGTATTCCACTCTGGACATCAAGCTCTTCCAGTTATTATTGTTGTGTAACAAATTACCCCCAAACTTAGCAGCTTAAGAAACATTTTTTGCTTGTCATTCTGTGGGTCAGGATTCTTGAAGGGCTCAGCTGGGCAGTCCTTGCTCGAAGCCTCTCACGAGGTCACAGTCAGATGTTGGCTGGGGCTGGAGTCATCTGAGGGTTCCACTGGGATGGATGTACTTGATGACTCACCTGACAAGGCAGGCAGCCAGTGCTGGCTATTGGCTGCGAGCTCAGCCTGTGTTGCTGAATTCTGTGCCTACATGGAACTTCTCCAGTACAGTTGGTGACCAACTCCCCAGCAGGTGTCTCCAGAGAAGCAGGCAGAAGCTGCATGGCCTTTTATGACCTAGCCTTGGAGACCAGATAATGGCACATCTTTCCTTCTCTAACAGCCAAGGCAGTCACAGTTCACCCAGCTTCAAGGGGAGAAGACTCGCAGCCTACCTCTTGATGGAAGGTGGCAGGGATACATTTTAGAAGAGCACGAGGGATGGGAGATATTATTGCAGCAAACTTGGGAAAATACCATCTGCCACACAGGCAACTGATAATGTCCTGGGACAAAAGGTACCTTCCTTGTCTCTAGACAGTTTACATTCTTAAAATCAGAAATTAGGATTTTTTTCTAAGAGCAAAATAGCAAACTTAGTTTGGGCAGTCCTCAGCAAGCACACAGGAGGCACCTCTCTCAGTTTCAACCTTCTTGACGTTCCTGAGGTAGGAAGGCTTGTATCATGCACTTTGAGCTTCAAAAATGGACATAGACATTCATTCATCCAATATAATGAGCATCTATTATGTGCCAGGTGCTGGGGGTACAGTTACATGTGAAACCAAACACGGTTCCTGACCTCTACTGGCTCACATTCTGATGGGAGATACAGCTCATGAACGAAGTAATTACATAAATACCTGTAAAACTGTGACTGGGACAAAAGCTCTAATGGAGAGGTGTAAAGGGGGATTGTGCTTAGGGCACTCAAGAAAGGTTTTCCTGAGGAATGGATGACTCTGCTGAAATCTGAGGAATGAATGGAATTTAACCAGGAGAAGGGGGTCAAGGAGAACATACCAAGCCAAGGGACCCACTGAGAAAATGTCTTGGGACAAGAGAAAGACAAGAATGAGGGATTGAGGGAAGTTCTGAGAGAGAAGCCTGACTGGAGGCTATGATTCAGTGACACAGACTTCGTGGGCGAGGGAGTCAAGGAGTGGATCTAAAAGGCATTCAGGACATAAAACTGATAGGACTGGGTGATGGAGGGTGTATTAGGCATCTACCATTGCCTAATAAAGTACCACAAACTTAGCGGCTTAAAGCCACATCCATCTAGTATCCCACCGTTTCCGTGGGTTGGGAGTCTGGGCACATCTGGGTCCTCTGCAAGGCTGCAGTCAGGTGTTGGCCAGGGCTGAGCTCTCGTCTGAGGCTCAGCAAGAAGGATCTGCTTCAAAGCTCAGACAGCTGTTGATGGCATTCGTTTCCTTGTGGGCTCTTGGATTGAAAGTCTCAGTTTCTCGTGGACTTGTCACCTGGAAGCCATCCTCAGTTCCTTACTGTGGTCCTCTCCACAACATGGTGGCTTGCTTCTTCAATGCCAGCAAGGGAGGGAGGGTCCCCAAGCAGGACGGGTGTCACAGACCTGTGTGAAAGAATCACATCCACATAATCACATACATCCTGACACCTTTGTTGGACTCTGTTGGCCAGAGCAAGTCATGGGCCCTGGTCACACTCAAGGGAAGGAGACCACACAAGGGTTGAATCCTAGGAGATGGAGATCATGGGGGCCACTCGGAGGCTCTCTTCCATAGAGGAGTTCTGGGGTAGGAGCACAGGGCTGTGTCAACCCAGGAAGAACAGACTGAAGGGGGTAGGGGTGGGGAATGGAAAGAAGGGTTCCAGTTGGGACACGTTGAATTTGAGGCACTTTTGAGACATCCAAGAGGTATCACGTGGGTACTTATTTGAACTCACGATCTGGAGCTGGTAGGAAATATAAATTAATAAGCCATGTTCTGATGAAGAGTAATTCAAGCCAAGTGTGGATGGATTTGTCCAGGGAGGGGGTACAGAATGAGGAGAGGACGCAGGATCTAGTCTTAACGAACTCCATCCAGGAGTAGCTGGGCAGAAGGCGTTGGGCCTGTGGAGGAAGAGAGACGGAGCAGCCAGAGAACAGGAATAAAACCAGGAGAGTGATGTGTCTCACAAGCCAAAGAGAAAGGGGACACCATTGTCAATACTGCTGGGATTCATGGAAGATGACTGGAAAGCTCAGTTCCATTTAGCAACAGAGTGGGAAGTCACTGGAGGCCTTAGCAGGTGCTGTTCTGGAGAAGTGGTGAGGTCAAGCTGGGTTCCGGTCAGCTGCCCTGTGCACGAGAGGCAAGGGAATGGGAGACTGTGAGTATTGTTAGAGTATTTCTGCTGTGAGGAGGAGGCAGGTCCTCTCTGGAGGGTAAGGAGAGAGCAGTGAGGTTTCAAACAGTGGAGTGTGACCTGTGGCACAGAAGAGAGGCATGGAGGGAGTCGCAAAGCCAGATCTCACCAGAAACACATCTGCGGTGGAAACAAGTTGGGTTTCTTACTCCCGCCAGCAGTGATGGAGACCACTGGGTCTCCTGGGACACCTACCTAGGGGGATGCTGGAAAGTGCTTCGGAGACTGGGGTTTGTGGTAGGTAGTTTTGCCGAACTAACTTTGCTGTGGCTTGGGTGTCAGAAGAGGAGGTAATTCCCGGACGGATGCCTTAATCAATCTTATCTAAAAGGCCGGAGGCCCAGACAAAGCTTACTCGTACTGGGCAGGACAGAGGGAGGTTCGGTCATTTCCGTGGCTTGGACTACGCTCACAGTTCGTGTGTTCAGACGTGATGAGAGCGGTCTCGTTTTCTTCGTCTGTCGGAGGCTGATGTCCACGTTGGCTCAAACTGTGTCCATTCAGCAGGAGGACGCCGAGGCCCCGCTGTGCGCACGGCCGGCGGTCCCAGGCCGGGGGGCTCACCCGCTGCTTCTCCGGGGCACCTCCCGGAAGCGCCCTCTTTCCCGCCCGCCACCGGCCTGCACTGGCGCGGACAGGTCGACGGAAGCACCCTGCACCCTGCGTTTCCCGGGGCTTCGGTGCTGGCGCCCGGGGTCGCCTCGCCTTCTCCGCCTCTACAGCGGTCCAGGAACGCGGGCCTGCCGAGGCGGTGTGAGGACGAAGGGACCGAACGCCTTCCCGGACCTCAGGGCCCGCTACGCTGCCACTAAGCTCCAACATTTCGGTCCACACCGGCCTTCTAGGAACCGGATGCCCGTTCAAGCGAGAGCAGGAAGGGCCGGCCCTGCCGCCTGCAGGGAACGTGGCGACCGCGGCGTCACCGCCGCCCACCCAAAGCGAAGGCAACCTGCGCGCATGCGCGCTGCCCCGCCCGCCCGCGCACAGGACTCTGGGGCGGCCGGGCCACGCCGCGCGCCGATTGGTGCTGTTTCGGGCCCGCCTTCGGGTGATTGACGGCGCCCGGGCCGCCACCACCCCGCTGCCGCCGCTGCCGCCGCTGCTGCTGCCGTCGCTGCCGCCGCCCGCAGGCTGCGCGACCGCCGCCGCCGCCGCCGCCCCGCCTTGGCCATGGACCTGTTCGGGGACCTGCCAGAGCCCGAGCGCTCGCCGCGCCCGGCTGTCGGTAAGCGGTGGCCTCCCGGCCGGCCGGCGAGGGAAGGGCGGGCGGCGGCGGCCTGGAGGCCCGCGGCGCCTGAGGCGGGCGGCGGGGCGGAGCGGGGCCGGCGGCGGGCCTCCGCCATGTCTGCTGCGCACGG